AGATAATTTCTGCGATGGGGTAAGTGAGTATCCATTGATTAAAATGGAGGATCTTCTGAATTACCTGTTGGAGTGTAGTTGGGGTCTGCATGATGCAGAATTGTACCTGAAAGGAGACACACTACACTTGTTGTCGCAGAGCGTGATATTAAAAAACAGTATAGGTGCTGTATCAACCCTGCATGATACGAGACATGATGAGACCGCGCGCAAAGCGTGCATAGAATCAAAAGCGCAAATAGAGTCGGAGCCATGGACAAGGGGCATCCGCGACATAGCGTTAAGTGACCCTGGGCGGTGACGAGAGTAGATTCCGCGACGGGGCCTGTTGTTCATGCGGTGGTCCCATGGAGGATTAGATCGTCGCAGAGAGGGAATCTGGACTTGGCCTTCAGTGATGTACGTGAGGACAAAAGAGGCATGTCTTTCCCACATACCGTCTAAAACACCCCAGAAGAGCTCAGCGCAAACTCTCAGTGCGGATCGTTAACAAAACATAACCAAAAACTAGTGCTCGGTTAGACCGCATAAGCACACCACTAAATACGGATGATTAAGTAAGTGTAGGTAATGGTAAGCAATCTCTGTTGTGGTGCGTGCAAGAAGAAGAGCATCTGGAGCTGGCTGGATTGGCCTCCGCTAATTCATTAAAGGTGAATATCCTAAGTATGCGGACGGACGAGCGATGCGCAGCAGTGCAAAAAATGGACAATTTCGGCGCAATGCGGGTGCAATGATTGAGAGTCTAACTAAGACATCGTTCAATTATACTGTCAACGACGGCGCGAGTGTTACCGTTGCTTGTTTGGTCCGGCGTGCGAACGGCAAGGGTGGAGAACGGCACTGCGGGACGGGTCTCAGTAGGAAGAAAGTACTTATTACCAATACACATACAAGGTTCAAGAATGTTGAGATGTTGACTGTGTAACGCCGTTATGACTATGGGGATGAAAAATAACAGCCAACTGCAGCTACCATCCAAGCCGTTCGACGGGGAATAACGTCTATCTCTTGGGATAGTATAACCGGAAAGAAATGCATAAACGTGCGGCAGAGAGCACACCGCGGTGATTGAAGACGGCACGTCGGTCTATCTTTCCGCAAGAACCGCCGCAACGGTCGAGGTACCTTGAGGTCGGGTCAGAGCCGATTGCATCCGATAATCATTCGAGAATGGCAAGGCCACGCCCTGATCAGAGCGGACCTGAGGCATTCACCAGTACAGTATTGTCTCCTGATAGCAGATTGTACAGGGTTAGCGGGGTTTCAGATGAAACAAGCGACCGCGGGAGAAGCCTATAGTGAACGGAAATGAGCGAGACTTGGACCAGACGTCCGGATTAGGTATCTGAGTACATACGTCGCGTATCGAGGTTGCTGAAGGTCTGGCTGAAAATCGCGTCACCTTGAGCTTTGTGTCTGTTGACTTACTGGGTTTAGTGATAAGCGAAGGAAAACAGTGATTTTCTCATGAAAATCACGACGAAGGCCCGCACAGCCCGAAACAATGTCTGACTCTCCTTGCCTCGCTTCGCACGCTGACTGAGCCATAGTCCGACGGAGTGAAGTAACCTGCGGCGGCCATCTTGAGACTGACGCCAATGTCGTGAGGAACAAGGCGTTGTTGAGCGTCAAGGACCCTTTTGTTGCGCGTTAAACAGGAGACATCGGTCGCGAAGCCGGCACCATGCACTAAAAGAACAGGCAAATGTCAGGCTCAGGAGCTCCGAGGCGTGGTCAACTGACAGTGGTCGGGCCTGAGATGCGAGCAGTGGTCGGGCCTGAGATGCGAGCGACGGCTTCTCCAGGCAAGATCTCCATGTGAGGAGTTGAAGGCAGCCGTAAGGCTGTCGAGGTTCCACAACGGTGGGCTAACCCTATATTCGGGACCTGCCTCCGTGAACTCCACCAACAACACGAGGTCGAGACAGCCCAGAGAAGCGTGGCGCGGCAAATGGTGTGTTTGACTTTGAACTCCGCAGAGGGAAAGTGGCGTCTAGCATTCCAACCCTGCAAGGAGCGTCGGTGGTGTACATGGCCGCCGTGATAGAAAACAGCGGTGATGATTCATTAGCAGAGCAAGCGACCTGCAAAAATGAACAAAAAACCAAGACTCAGACACGGAAACCGAACCAGACTGAGGATCCTGAGGTATAAGGCGCTGTGCAGGAACTATCTGAGCTCGTGAGCGTCGTGGACGGCCGGTGTGACCCTGAAGCACATGAGGGGGCTGACCTTCAGGTGACGGGGGCAGTTGCGTCTGAGCAGTGTTTTGGGGGAGCCGCACAATGCCGACGTTCCCTTCAGCTTATTTCGTAAAAAGAAAATTGCGGCCAGGTCCGAACGACTTAGTGAGACACTGCCCTTAGCGTGGCAACGTTCGAGAACCAACGTCAGAATCTCGAGGCAATGAACCTACCATCAGACAGTGCATGAGAATGCCCGTCGGACGTATGGAGAAAGAAGGGCTTGCGTCTGGAAACGTACATGACCCCGTGTGCGCAGTCAGGGTCCTCCCGTTGCAACAGCAGGCCATGGAGTTCTAAGTGTAAACGCGTTCATTCCTAGGATAGTGTGGTTTACCACGGCGACTAGGAAGAGCCTCGCTAGAAGTTAGAGACGAATACTCGTCAAAATACGACAAAGGCATGAACAAAGCACTTACGTTCCAAGAACGAGCGGATGCTCTAACAGATGTTATCATGTTCCTGAATGCACTAAAGATGCACGGCTACGTGCATCTAGACGTAAAAGGACGGTCCATGGGGCCACATTGGGAAGTTTTGGCGGTAAGAATGTCTAGCTCCCCTGCCGCCGCGAAATCGAAATCAACGGTGCGCGGGTCCGTACACACGGAATACTCACGATATCTTATCATCAGGTAGTAGGGCCAGACAATCTCCGCAATGCCTTCAGTGCGACTACCAAAACGGAGACCGCTCATCATCTTCACAGAGACAGTGGCTCGTCAATGGGCCGGCCGTTCTGACGTAAACAGCTCCTATCAGAGCAGCCCATGGTCAACGGCGCCGGAATTAAGTGCTAAAAGCGGGAGATTTACTCACAGAGGAATAGTACATAGCCGTCAGCCTGATGCACGTGCATATGGATTTCGTACCATAGCTTCATGTGGAACGCAGTGATGATAATGCAAATTATGTGAGCCTCGAGGGGGAAAATGGAAGGACAAGAACTGTGGAGAGGGAAAATCGCGTTCAACCCTCGGATTGCCAGCCGAACTTGCTGACATTCCGGAGGCATTTTTCGCCGATGGCTGAGTTCCGCAGGCCGAGCCTTCTACGACATTACGCGGACTGCTCGCTATCCGGCCTACATTTTGAGTCAGATTAAAAAGACCCCGAGTGTTGGAACCAATGAGAACTTTTTCGTACGGCACGAGTGCAGCGCGAATTGCGATTTTCCGACTCCAGTCGGAATAGGGATCGCAAAGCGACTGCTCTCGCGTCTTCCAGAAGCCGAGTTAGCCGTCAATATGCCATGTTATATCGAATAATAGCTGACCAAGCGACACCGACAAACTGACCGGGAATGAGGATGAGCGCCATGGGACGTGGCGGTCCGAACCCTCGCGCATCGTGCGTATGAGGACGCCATATATCGCCACTGAATTAACTCTAATTAAGAAACCGAGGTAAATAGACTGAACTCGGAACACAAGACCTGCGCGGCACTGCAAATTTTGTGCACTTACCGAAGTCTGTATAATGAGGGCCGTACCATCACAACGCTTACGCCTGGGAAGCTGATGTGTTAGGGCGAAGAGTTCCGGTGCAGTTCCAATAACGTCAGGATCTGATGTGCCGGCATTGGAACCGGGCTGGGCCTATGGACTCAGGATGTGCGGTCCGAGTACCAGCGCATAGCATGGCACCGCAATTCGTCGTTACTGCTCCCCGTACCCACAAGCCAAGATCCAACCCCCTACAAAGCGCGGTCTGCCCCAAGTCGTGACTCCTATCCAGCTACCCTGGTGACCAGCAACTTCTCTTCGTCCTGCATAATCGCCAGCGGTGCTAATACAGTGCACGCAGAAACCGCGTAAGATCAGGAAAGCAGACCGGAGCCTTGGGCTGCGTCACATTGAATGAGCTCGTAACTCGTCCTTCCACAGTGAATGAAGGCTGTTCTCAACCGTACGGCGAATTGAACTGAGATATGTGCTTACCATTTTGTGTCTATTGATTCGGCAGCTCAAAATGCAGCGTAACGCCCTAGATTCATGTACTCGGCACCAACAAGTCGTGTTCAGAGCAGCCTGTAACTTCGTCAGGATTTTCGAAGCATGTAGAAGCGGCGAAACAGGGAAGCATACCCTCCATACCTCCCGTGGGCAGTTGATAGCTTCATTTCCTGGGGTTACGAGATTTCTGCCAATGTTGCCTCATCGTTGGCGTTTGGCGTGGCATGACAGTGAGAGCAAGGAGATTTGAGGTACAGGGAATAGCGAGGCAATCGGCGCTGGGGACTTTTGGCACCTGTCTGAGCTGTTATTGGTAAAGGAGGGATGATGACCGCTACTGATCTTACCGATAACAGCGGTACACGTGACGAAGGCAATGCGGCCGACACAGTCGTTGACTTGGCAAAGAGATCCAGTAGGCAATGGTGTATGTGCTAGTCGCGACGGGGGCAAAGTGATTCATACAGCGGTGAAAGGGCGGCCACAAAGCTTGGCGACCTATTCGAGCGAGAGGCGAGCAGACGACTCTCCAGAGGCAGTAGCAATGTTGTTATTGTCGACGAACAGAGCCGTATACACTGTACTCAGGGCCAAATGCAGCGCCAAGCGCTCTGGACACCACTGGGTGGTAGTGGGTGTCTCTGGACACACGGAGCGCATCAGCCCTGAGCGCGACGCAGCACGAGAACTCGTGACGTCAGTGCTGACTAAGAGGAATGACATGCGCACACGGATGGTGAGAGTCGGCAGGTTGTCCATCGTGGTCGACAGTCCTATGACTTCTCCGCATTAAATCAGGCTATCTGCATCAGCTATAAGACTGGGAGCAGCACAGAGACGAAAGTTCGTACTCACCCTACCTGCGCCTTCCCTATCGTTGAGGATGTCCAAAAAAGCCGCTGCCGAGTCTGTCTCCAAGAAGCGCGAGGAATATACCCTGTACTACGTGCGTTTGCTGAGCTCTGGACAAGGTGAAGTCGCTCATCGTGGAAGGCAGTGGCCAGGCATTCCAGGACGCGGCGAGTATGTTCGTCTTGCGTTCGAGTATGCCGGCGTCCCCTACACGGAGGTCAACGATCCAGGCAAGATGTTCTCTACTATAATCGACCCCAAGAACAGTGGTTTCCCTCCTCATTTCGCTCCACCTGCGTTAAAGCTTCCTTCTGGGCGAATTATTTCTCAGACACCTGCGATCCTGAACCACGTAGCACCTAAATTCGGTTTGGCGGGAGAGAAGGAAGGGGAAGACGAGGAAGAGGCACGCAGCACAGTGAATCAGTTGGTATTGACGGCTCTTGATCTTAACAATGAAGTGAGTCCTTTGTGACAGTCGTCGTTGGATTGGAATGACGAGCGTACCTAGACACACGACACCCATCATCCAATTGACGTAGGGGACTACTATGCGAACCAGAAAGAGGCTGCCATTGCGAAAACGAAGGCTTACCGCGCCTCCCGACTCCCAAAGTTCCTGGGGTATTTCGAGAAGGTCCTCGAGTCGAACCCAGAGGCGAAGACAAACGGCGGGACATACCTGGTAGGCTCGACGACGACGACGGCAGACTTGGTCCTCTTCCAGGTGAGATTGCTCCACGTCATCCTGCCCGTGCATGAGCACTCAATAGCCGCTGGCCGCGCAGGTGCTGGATGGCGTGAGCTTCGCCTTCCCCAGGCGCATTGCGGCGTTGAAAAAGAGTGGGAAGTATGACAAAGTCTTCGCATTGAAAGAAAGAGTTGGGGGCGAGAGCGGGATCAAGGAATATCTCACGAGCGGCCGTCGCCAGAAATACAGCGAGGGCATCTTCCGGCACTACGAAGAGCTCGACGGTGAGGAGTAAACGGAGTCGTAAAGGGCTGCAAAAATCAGATAAAGCTGTATGAAATAATTCGTGTGCACAGCCTGTGTCTGAAGAAGAGTATGAACGCGAGAATCGCTGGTGACGGCCCTTGTTGAGCTCGTCGAGTGAAAGCAACTGTGCAAGGTTCAGGGCCGGGAAAGCGGCACGAAAAGCCGATGGAGACGAAGCACGTGAAAATCACGTGACATTTTGCTTAGATAATGGCATTTCCTTTCTTGAGCTTCTGCAGCCCGCCAACTCTTGCAGCAATGGCTATAGACCGAGGAAACGGAACAACCACACAGCTTCTGACGCTGATCAACGTCTCTGCGACAAAAGCTAGAAAGCGAAAATGGATCCTCGATGATGCTAGACCTTCAGAGAAACTGAACAAGCGGCGGAACGTTCACTTCGGCGAAGTGCAGGTTAACGAGCAAGAGAGCACTTCGCCAGAGACACAAAAGGAGAATACAGAGGGTATTGCTACTATTGACGCTGCAAAGGATGTCCAAGAGACTGAAGGAGACGACGAAACCGCTGACGGTGCGTCTAACTCGGTCGTTCGCTAATTTTGCTGCTCACAGTGTACTAGAGAGTTCGGCTGATCTCTATGAGAGCCATTTTGGTCCCAACTCTTCTGATATGTCCGAAATGAAACGCCAAGCCGTAGAGAACAGATCGTGGAAGACACACCGAGCGCTGTACGGGAAATTGGGAGGCGCAGTGGACTATGTGCTGGAGGCCGAAGAAAGTATGGCTGAAAAGCGCGAGAAGCCAGCGGTAAGTGCATACATATACCATCTAAAAACGCATGTATCGAAGGTTTTCCAGATCTTGGATAGGTTACGGACGCCATTCCAACAACGGCAAACGAAACTGTCGAAAGGCAAGCCCACGCGTTTCATGAAAGTTCTTGCGAACTCATGAATTTCTTCTTCGTTAGAACTCGCGGCTCTGCAGGACGATGTTCTGACCACTTTGTCCTCAAACAAAGATCTATATGTTACGCGTACACCTCTAGACTCGCAACAATTAATAAGGGAAGCCATAGCCCTCCATGCCCTTAATCATGTCACGAAGTACGTCCCGCCGACCTTGCCACAGGCATTCGTTTCTTATCTTGCTTCAGAAAGCGAAGACGAATTCTCAAGAATAACGAGCGCATAACCCACGCCACAAAATCCGGCGCGCCTGTGCCTGAGGACGTTCAAGATCAAGGATTTACCCGGCCTTCCGTGCTCATCCTTTTGCCTTTCCGGTCATTTGCCCAGCGTTGGATATCTGCACTTACAACGCATACCCCGTCACCCTCGTTTCAGGTGGAGAACAGGTCCCGCTTCGAGTCGGAGTACGGTTTGCCACCAGGGGCAGTGGACAAGCTTCTTGCCGCCGAGCCCGGTATATATCCCAAAGATCACGTCGAGATGTTTAAAGGCAATGTCGATGACAGCTTCAGGCTCGGTGTCAAGTTGACTCGCAAGAGTGTGAAGCTTTTTGCGGAGTTCTACGGTTGTGATATCATCCTCGCAAGTCCGCTGGGTCTGAGGATGTCTATCGAGAAAGAAAAGTGCGTCCTTCCGATTAATATGTGACCCGATACTAAAACAGACCTTCTTCAGAAACGCAGACTTCTTGTCGTCCATTGAACTCCTCATTGTGGATCAAATGGACGCTCTCACAATGCAGAATTGGGAACACATCCAGGTACGCCTACAGTGTCTCACAGGCAGTTGTGTAATTTCATTCTATGGTTTCAGTTTATCATCTCGGACCTTAATAAGCTTCCGAAGGAGTCACACGATGTCGACTTCTCCCGCATAAAGCCGTGGTACCTTGACGGGCAGTAAGTTTGAGAGTTTGTCCACCCTGGATTGCTGAACCTAGACTGAAAAGTACTCAGCGCTGCCTTCCTTCGCCAGTCGGTTCTATTGTCAGCATACGAGACTCCAGAAACACGTGCGCTGTTCAATAACAGCCTCTTAAATGTGGCCGGCAAAGTACGGACAGTATGTCGCTGGCGGCCCGTCCCCGTGCCTGAGGGTGTTGACCAGGTGGGTCCATGACTACTGCGGCCGTGCCCCGTGTGTCCTTACATGCCACCATTGGCAAGAATTTTGTTCTGTTCGACTGTTCCAGCCCGAAGGACGAACCTGACAAGCGCTTCCAGCACTTCACAACCCAGGTTAGCAACATTCCTGCCACGTGTGTCAGAACTTCCTTGACACGGTCTGCTATAGATGTTGCCCGGGGTGCTGAAATCGGCGGTGCAAAGCACAAACACCGCCATCTTCATCCCTTCATCGTTCGATTTCATTAGGGTCCAGAACCACTTCCGCAAGACCGCCGGCGTATCTTTTGCTGTGCTATCGGAGTATGTCTCGCTGATATGTCCATCGTCGCCAGCTTTACTGAAACACTTGCGTCGCCTTCAGGTACTCATCGAACCAGGACATTTCGCGGGCGCGCCAAGCTTTCTTCGGTGGCAAAAAGTCTTTCCTTCTCATCAGTGAGCGCTTCCACTTTTTCCGTCGGTGAGTGCGAAAGCGCCAGTTGTTCGCGCTACCGTCAGGACTCACGTCGCGTCCTCAGATACAAAATTCGCGGGATCCGCAATTTGATCTTCTACGGGCCGCCCGACCATCCACAGTTCTACACTGAGCTCCTGTCGTATCCGTTCCTCGACGACGGCGTCGAGCCCTCGGACGTCACCTGCAAGATACTGTACTCGCAATATGACTATATGCGCTTGGAGCGGATAGCGGGTACCGAGGGCGTCAGCGAGCTGATCAAGAGGTCAGCGGTGTAACCCGGAGGCTATGTTTGCCCTACTCTGTTAGCAGCAGACTAAAGCTGCGCCTCAGTCTCAAACACCGCAGTCGAATATAGCACACATACACAGTTCAATATGCTGAGTACCAACCGGGGAAACTACGGAATCTGATCTAAAATTTACATGCAGCTCAGAACTAGCCGGGAGTGCTGCAGTCGATGCGAGTGTTGCTTTCACATTAATGCCCCTTATATCGCTTTCCGTTCGCGGGGACATCTACACCTCATGTCACCGTCCCGGACTGCTGGTGGAATTTTTACCTCCCGCAGAGGCATTAACCTACTATATGCCGAGCCAGCGAACGAGTAGTCGAAGGAGAAGGCGCATTCTCATAAACTTCGGGGTGAGGATTACCTCTAGGCTTCCAGCACTTGGCAGTGTACTTCTCCAAATCTGTGAGCGCACCCTACAGCAGCCTGAGTTTTGTGCACAGTCACTTACACGTAGGTCCAATATGCTCAGTCGTCCGTACTACTATTGGATATGGTGTGCAGGAGAAAGAGCGGCTTTGTGTGAACGATGAATCTACAACATATCGAAAAAATGGAGTCCCTTCCAGCTTCTCCGCTTCAGACAGGCATTGTGGAGTCTTCAATGTTCCAGCGACTCTGACACTAGTCGGCCAGAGCGACCTTGCACAGTTCCTCACGTTCGGGCCGGTACGGTCCTAGCTATATGAACCTGACCCGATGTTCCGCAGTTGCTGGTAGGGAGGCGTACGCTGTCATTCAGGGCCCAATGTTCGAAGTACGATTCAAGCTCAAATGCAAACATCGTTTAAGATGACAAGCAAGATACCACGCTGTCTATCTTTCAGATCGATATGGCGATTTTGCCAACAGCGCACTTCGTCTACAGGCTCGTTATATCAAGCGGCGGCTGCCGGGAGCTCGAGGGGCCCGCATCTGGGATCCATGGCAGACACTGGGGAAAATATAGCGACGAGCGCTGCGGCTTCTGTGGCAGTGATTTCTACCGGCGGCGGTATTGTGGCTGAAGGGGGATAATTTGCGACGGAGATTAGACGTCCTGCATTGATGGCATTTCATAGGAAGGCTTGAGTCCTAAACCAACAAGGTGAGGCTCGGCAGTGGAACACACCAGGCTATAACACGGCCTTTGGACTTCGCAGACCGCTCTGGCATCTTCTCCCTTCTGCTACTACTCAGGCACTATCTGCTGTCTTCTCGGTTTCGATCTTCACAGTTTCACCGCCGAAGGCTAGATTCGAGAGTCAGGTCCAGAATAGGCTCTCAACGCGACTCATACCAAGCGCGGACATTGCCACCAGCCTGCGCTCTCCCGTAAATCAAGAATCTTCGCAAGTCTGGATAGCAGAGGGTCGCCCGAGAGGTTCGACAACACACCATCAATCGGAATCATTCGGTGCCACAAGCTACAAATCTCCTGCTCACATACGTCTAAAAATCTCACTATTGACCTGGAATAGAGCACGATCTACCGTGGTCACCTATATTGGTTCACGCTTCCGCGCTAGTCTGACGAGGGCCCACCTCGTCCACCCCTGCGGAGCTATCCTCCTGGACCCAGGGCTCGTCTTCCAAGCCATCCTGCAGCGTCCCCCCAATATTACCCAATCGATTCACTGGGCCTCTGACTTGCAATGTCGGCGGTCCTTGCTGCTGATCACCGACGCATAGCGAGTAGTCCGGCGCCTCCGAGTTGACCGTGCGTAGGTTGATCATGAAGCGATTGACGAGCAGCAGAGGCTGCGCGGCTAAGATATGAGCACCAAAAAATGAGTCAAGAGTTGCGTACGCACCAGGATCGTTATAAACGCGGACACGGCTGACGTGCCCTCAAGTACAGCGTCAGCTACCAACATACATACTCGTGTCCGGACGTACCGCAGGGAAGTTGTAGGTCAGCAGCTGAGCGATATTAATCGCTAGCAGCGACCTGTATTCATTTTTGCCTGTGAGCGGCTCCCTCGGATAAACAGCTTTGTTGTCATGTTCACATAAAATAGAGCGTTCCTGCGCGAGTAGAAAGATTTCAGCGGTCAAAAATGCGGTAGCGCATAGAGAACAGCTGACCGTCTCGCAGCAGACACGTCGTTAGCGGCACCCTGATGTTGACACTGCGAGCGCTCCTCCAGTGCCCGAAGGTCTTGATCCACGTCAGGATGAGCACTACCGTATCGGCGACGAGTGGTGAACTGCGGGTGATGTACACGACTATGAACAAGTGTTGTCAATACCTCCAACACTCCTAAAGATTCTGCTGCAGGACATACGTCTGCATCACAGGAAATGAGCATTTGTGGACGACAGCAGGCATGTGTGTACACCTACATACTTGTCTTCTGCACGGAGAATGGCGTCTTCTGGATGCATACCACACCAAAGAATGGCTCCGTGGTGGAACTATACTTCGACACCGTCGCTTCAATCTGCACAGATGTGTCAACCAGGACGTACTCAGAGTTCGAGCAGACGCGATACGCACTAGGTTCGTCACGAACGGCGCCATGCTTAGTGCAAACACTACAAGCGACCAAATATAGCTCCTGTTCCAAATCGCGAAGACGCGCAGAGCGGAGAAGACTGGCGCGTGGAGGTCAGTGGGCGTTTCGGAGTCTAGCGAGACACTTGAGGCGTACGTGAGATCTGGACGAATCCAGTGAGGAAGATTATCCAGTTCACAATATTAAGCGGTAGACAGCTGTGTCGAGTTTCGGTAAGCAATCTCTGGTAGATGAGTTATAAGGAAACGACTTACTCCTACAAGAAGCATCATTTTCAAGTTCACATGGTCAAGGTCGTGCAAGACTTACATTTGGAGTTTGCTGCGGAGATTGCAGAATGGCTGTTAGAAGCACGCACCATCGCACCGAGCCAAGGAGAACAGCGGACACAGTGATGGACCTCTTCCAGACGATGTTGATCTCGTCGTTGACGGTGATCAAGAATTCATAGATGATGAGGCCTAAGGACAGATACTGTAAGCGACGTGCTGATGGGAAGCGAAGAATGTACTTGCACGAGGCAGCTACATTGGCATAGCCTGACACGAGGCTGGAAGGGAAATGCATGAGGATTGGCTCGTCAAGTGCAAACAGTGGTGAGCCGTAACGCTTACAGCTGTGAGTAGGCTTGGACGAGGGCCTGGTCTGACTGCGCCGACATATTTGGGGTGAGAAAGGGAGAGAGGCGAGCTGTAGTGAGGATCTACTACCAGCCGCCCAGTTATAACTAACTGGGAGAGTCTTCTATCAACACATTTGCTGTGCCCACTTCCATCGTACACCACTCCCGTCAGCAGTGCTTCGTTGAAGACTCTCTGGATGCATTGGCGGAAGAATCTAGTCCACAGATACAGATACGGGGTGGCTCAATTGTGAGCGAAGATAGTAGCAGAAGGCCGTTCATGTGTTTGAGAATAACAGGAAGCGTCATTTCCATCCCAATAACGTTGCCAGTCCGTGATTGGTCTGAGAGACTATTCGTTCCATCTATATTGCTCGCAAGTTTTCAACGCCGCGATACATAGCTGTGTGGCTATTCACGGTATCAGAAACTCTGCTCACCCTTCAGGTCCTCGATCCTCGGGACAGCAGGGAGGGAGCGGTGGCGGACGGCGGCGGGCGCTAAGCGCTCAGCGGCCAGCGGTGCGAAAAGGTATAGTCTGGTTTCAGACGCGGGGGGTTAAGCGCACACCAATTCGGATGTGTAGAACGTAGTCTATACTATACACTCTAATATACGACAGGTTTGGTCGACCTGACCTTCAGGATTGTTTCTGAATCTGGAAAGCGACTCTTTCCAGTCATGAGGAGGCGGTGGAGCCAGATGGTTGCTTTGACGGTGCGTGTGAGGGTGACACAGGGTGATAAGCACGGTTTTTTTCTTGAAGAAACCCGGCCAAAATTGGGAAAACAAGAACCAATTGTTCCCCGGTTGTACATTGGGGGAAATTAGTGCGTAAATTGGTGCAAAACCGGCCAAAAGAGACTGAAACGCGACAAAACTAGCGGAAAAGGAAGTTTTGTCTCCAAGTTTTCTTGAATGAAAACCGGTTAAACACAGATTCTTGTTCGCCTAGCTTTTGGCTGGTTATGGCAAGCAAACAGACTGCACCTACCACCTAGTGTGATGTATTTGGAGATGAAGTGGTGGAAAGCAGGGGGCTGGGCCCAAATGGTCCTTCTGGAGGAATTGTGAGCCACTATGTTTAAGATGTCAAGGTGCATGGAGTACCAACCTGGGAAATTATTGACCACATAGTCCCCAAAGTAGTACAAGTAGTTGCTAAACCCGTAGGTCGAACTCAAGTTGGATGTAATCAGCTGAATTGGCCAGGACAGTGGCCGAACTCTGGAACTGCTACTCGAACACAAACGGCGGCTGACCTCAGTTACGGTGGTGCCATTTGTAGGGGCAGTAATGCTTCCAGGACTATCCAAAAGAGTGATTGGTAGACCTCCTGGTGGTCCAAGCTGCCGCTTAGCCGGGAATGCGAAGCCTGGAGCTGCCAGAGCCATAGTGAGTAGAGAGAAAGCTCATGTGAAGTGCATGCACTGCATGGTGAGACGTCACTCTTGACTAGAGGAAGGGCATCTGGATCCTGTCTTTGTGGCATAGCCTGGATGGATGAAACGTCGAAGTGGCCAAGGACGGCGGCCAGCGAGCAGTTGCCCAGACATATAATGAAAGTCATACGGTCATCGCGGGGGGGGGGCGATTTTGTGGTATGTGATAATAGGCCAACAGGCCGGTGGAGCGGTGAGCTTGACGGTGACCTGTGATACCGGTCAGGAATCCAGCGGTAAAATTGTGGCGGTAGCCCAGGCACGACCGTACTGTAGTGTACAGAGTGGTAGTAAAGACATGCAGACTTTGTCTCGTAAGTTTTGTGCCGCAGGCCCAAATGATCTTACACATAGACTTTAGTAGAGAGGAATGTGAAAAGCAGCGGCGCCGGCTCTTGAGAACGGCGGCAGGAGGCTATGCGACACGTGGCGCACCGGAAGGTACAGTATCATTCCTCGTTATAACACGATATCCTACAGGCTGCAGAGAATGCATAATGCACTCATTCATACTACCATTAATCAGGTCCGGACTCGGAGATAAACACACGATCAAGTTGCGTCCGGCAAGCTTCACCGAATGCAGCCGATGCGAGGAGTATCAAGAACATGGTATTTATGTCCTGTTAATTTGGTGGACATGCAACGCGCACCACATCTAATACAGCTAAAACACATCGGGCGTCAAAGCCCGAGACAGACGCACTCATTGGCCAGTGATCCCTCTCACGAAGCGCCTCTTAGGGGGGCGCTGCACGCCCAGTCAACCGAAGGTTGGCGGCGGGCGGCGCGTTCATCTCACTTCTCATTAGATTTCTCTTCTCAATTCTCTTTGCCCGTGCGTAGCAAGGGTCACTCTCTCGTATTCTAATATGAACGAACGAAACAGACTCGCGCGCTTTTCATTAGGCGCCAAACTCTGATGCGTCTCATGATCAATTTGATGCGCCGCCCTCCGCTCCATCTAATCACAAGGCGGAAGTTGAGCATTCAGTAGGCCAGAGGATACAGTGTTACTTATAGCAGCTGGTTTGGACTGCCCTCACTAGGCGCTCCAGCAAAACTGAGATTACAGGCTGGTGAGGGAGTGCGTCATGCGTTACCGTTCAACACTCCACTACAATAAGGTCGAATTTTATTATTATTAAAACAGCTATATTCTCACGTAGCTAGACCATCTTTATTAAATGCTAGCATAATCGGTATTTTTGTAACATTATTTAGCGGCGTAGATTACACATCAGCACCGTCCTGTCACCTAGTCACGCCTCCCTGCCTCCATGCATGCACTTTTATGATTTCGCCAGTGCAACCTCTGACACTCCTGGCTGCAATATACTTGCGCTTTGCACTGCTGGCAGAGCTTTCTGGTCCCGGGAGGCAGCCAGTTCAAACACAGCCCACAGTACGTATCCCAGTCGTCCTTGCCGTCCCTACCTCCCTCATCTAAGAGCAGCCTCATGTTCCCCACGGGAACATTATGCTCGTCGAAGATGATCATCTTGTCATGCAAGACGTTGCCGCACATAACCTCGAGATATGACACCGCGAAGAGCTGACTCACCGCCACACGTGTCGTGTAAGGCGCAAAGGGAGCCCAGTCCTTCTTGCGCCTGAGGGCATCTATATCTCTGCCCTGCCCACACTCACAGAGCGGCCACTCGTCCAGCGGGAGCGGTGCTTCGCCTGCCGTGGTAGAGAGATACCGACACTCGGGCGCGTGTCGCCACTCTCTGCAGCGCTCAGCCAGCACAAGCAGGAGCCGCCTCCACACACGAGATTCTTCATTGAAGAGTGTGATGCGTGCTGCCTTTGAGCATAGGCTATTGGTGAGCCGGCGAAGGGCATCTGTAGACGCGTGCGGGATGAAGCTATCAAGCACAACAGTGTGTGCAGCAGCGTCGAGACGCAGGCCGGCCACAAAGAGCATGAAGTCGAGGCTGCCGTCCTGGCGTGCGAGCATAATCGTACTCCGCCCGGGCGTGTCCCTCGAGCCAAGGAAGTTTTTAAATATGGAAGATATCGTGCTCTTGATTAAGGTGAGCGTGTCTTTATTAGCCAATGGATCGCTTCGCGCCTGGTTCTCCTGTCTGGAGAAGGCAAAGTCGACGTGTCGGTGTACCCAGCGGAGCATGTTAACGCTCTTTGTTGACAACTGGGGCAGGCGGCCCAATAAGATACGGTGTAAGTTCCAAGGCACACTTCCGCTGGCGTCGGCGATCATTGGGAAACAGTGCTTGGGTAGCTCGACGGAGGACTTTCCTAACGGTGACGGGACAGCAATGGCCTATAAAAATCCGTATTCCCAAGTCAACTAAAAGCAAATAAAAGGGCTGCTGAAATACGCACTTCGACCCATGACTCGCGACGAGAGAGTCGGATCCTGACTTTCGTTCCGTCGATTGGGTATGGGAACAGCACGTCTCGATGAAAGCGAGAGCCAAGTTTAACTCGCACAACGCAATAGCATGTATGTTCGAAGTCGACTGGGGTCGCCACCTTGTCCGTAAGCGCGGCTTTGATCTCAGGATCCTCGAACGTGGTACGCACGGTCATCGTTGCCACCTTCTCTTTTTTGTTGTCAAAGCCGATGTGAACCGAGTCCGGGACAGAAACCGCACGAAAGATGGGGGAGTTAATAAGCGGCTCAACCTTCGCGTCCCTGCGAAGGGTGGGTGGCTGCGTGAGGACGTGCACGCGCGGGTCCGTTGTAGAGAGTTCGAAGAAGCGACCGACGTTACCGTATTTGGCGTAGAACTTGGTCGTCTCAGGCGTCTTGAGCACAAGCAGACGCACCGACATCTCCATGCCCGCTGGGCGCGCGAGCAGATGCGTTGGCATGCAGAATGTGACGATAAGCGGCGAGTCCCCACGCCGCCCCTGCGTATCTTCAGTGATATATGCCCGTGCACGGTCGGCGTGGCTTTCGATGGTCAACGAGCCGAAGAAAGGTTCAAAGCTCGGGAAATGATATGACTCGTCGCTAACCTCCGAGCCGACGCCGACGGAGATTGGTGGGTTGTGCGGCGCATCCTTCTCATCTAGCACCCGGAGCGTCGCGCGCGGGACAGGGAACGCGAGCCACACCACTGGCGGAATGTCTCTCCACTCGCGGAGCCGGCTGTACAGCCTACTCTCAAGGTGCATCACGTTCCCGAGCCGGTAGTGTAGCTCTGAGTGGACGCCCGTTTGGTAAAACTGACATGCATAGTCGAAGAGGCTGACTCTAGCAATCATGAGATCGTAGGACATGTTCATGCGGTCCCCGAGGTTCTCGACTACCGCGGCCCAGTCGGTCGAGACCCGGCTTGCTAGGTGGCGGACGAGCAGCGCGAAGGAGCGGCGGCAGTAGTGCGCCCGACTACGTTCATGCTCTGAGCCCTCTGTCTCGTCGTCTGGACTAACAGCCTCGCGCTGGAACATCTGGAGGCAGAGGTTGTACAGGAAGTCCTCCATCTGGGGAGCTGTAACAACCAAGGTCCTGTCGTTCGTCTCGAGACACGACGGTCGTCGCCAGGTGAGTCTTTCTACGAACCCCTTGACACTGAGAATCAGCTGGCGCGAGGTTAGTTCTTCGATGTTGGCCTCGCTTCGAAACTTGGACAGATAGGATATTGGTGCTAGGTCGAGAAAGAGGGACATGGTACCGAGGTCACCACAGAGTTGGACCAGTGAATCCGTGACGGGATCATCGCCATATACGTCCTGAGTTTCCGTATACAGAGTTGCCCATGCCGTAGTCTTGAGGACGGGTATGCAGGCGACGAGTACGTTAAGTATGCCTTGAGTATCGCTTAGGTTCGCGGTGTCTATCACGTCGAAATATAACAGGGCGGATGGTTTACTAGTATCTGCGCAAAAACCATCGCCGTCCAGGACTAGAAACGCCGCCCGCCATGGCTTTACGCGACATGCTATCGAGGTGCGTTTAGAGCGCGCATATTCTTGCAGAGTCAGCCCAAGCGCCAGGGGATCGCTGTAAATGTGACGAAGAATGACCTTACGTGACTGTACACAGGAGCGGAAACAGAGGCACCACGTGTAGAATTGCGATCGTGCAACAGCATGCAGATCATCGACAGTAGGTTTCGGCCAAGTGGAAGAGTCTGCGGGGTGGAGTGAGCAGAACGCATCTGCCATCAAGAATGTCGCGAGGGGTGCGGTGAAATCGTTAGTAGCGAATGTTTGCTGAGAATTGGAGTACGCGAAGAGGGGGTTGACATAAACTGCGTTCTGGATATCATACTCGCGGGTATATGTGGTCCCAGTTTCCCAGTAACGGTGGTAAGCCTCGTTCATGATCACTCCAGCGTCCATCCACATCGGTCCTGTTGCTCGTGCCGGGAACGTGTTAACGAAGCCACGGTAGTATTTCTGGTGTTTCTTCTGGTAGCGTAAAAGCTTGTCCTTGAGCCTTGTCTTGTGAGTGTCGTTGAAGGTACCCGTACGAGCGTACCAACTCCAGTGGTGGTGCAGCTCTTGCAGCGTGAGTTGAGTACCGATTTTGATAAACTCGGCGTACTTTCCGGTGTCCCAGGCCTCTGTTTGTCTCGATAGCAGAGAAATATTCCTACATTGTTCAATGAGAAGCGATAGCGAAGCATCATCTAGGAGTAGATGGTAAAAGATATTCCAGATCAAATGTTTCTTGCTGTCAAAGTCGTCTCGTAGAATCAAGGTGTAGAGCAAGATATTCCTCGCTTAGTTCAAAAAAGAGTGAGCTATAAATAGGGAAGGCGTGGTGACACATACCAAGGATGGCGGGCTCATCGTTGGAGCGGGTGAAGTCCAATTTACGCGTGGCTTAAAAGAGCCTATCGTCAGACAAAACGCAGTCATACGAAGACGACAGTCGAGTCAAAACATACATAATGAGTCATCAGAACCGCTGGAGTAAAGAGTGTAGAAGATATAGTGAGGATCACTGCATTGCAGGATTAGGATGTTTGCGTCCTTCTCGGGTGGAATATCCCGGACTAGCGATGTCGGCGGCGTATGTCCAATTGGGTGGAAGTCGTACGCCCGTTGCCATCTTATTGGGTGTGACATTGGCAATGTAGGTATGGCAAGCCTTTGGCCGCCGCGACCTGTTGAGATGACGCTCCGCTACGCTCGGATTGCAGTCGATTACTGAGCGCCTTTCACACAGGCCAGCACGATATACCTCAGGAACTAGATGCTGAGGCGTTCGTGAGTAACCAGACGCGCTATTAAGTTGGGACAAAATACGAAGATAGCACTAACATCGAGCTTGTCTCGACCAGTAGTGCCGGTGAGAGACAGAGAGCAAGCAGGCGATGAGAAGTCGGACTCGAGGCAAGCACACGTAAACTTTCCCAATACTAGACGCTGGAGGCGCAATTTCACTGAATATTAATATGGTTGTGAAAGCTTTGGAGCTTCGAAAATGGGACGACAGTCGTAAGACCTTTTCTGCAATAAGTTACAAATGATAGCATCATATTTCCATAACGTGCACCCTCTAGTAGCCCTGAAAATCTCCTCCTACGAGTGCCAAATAATGCCGAAAGTCAGACCCTCTGGCAAGGTCCGAGGGCCCTCTCCATCCTGGCTACTTCGCCTCGAACGAGCAGGCCTAGGCATAGCGACATGGAAGACAGTATGAAGCTCATTCGACTCAAGGCTTGAGCGAATGCCTATGGTTTGACCTGATCGAACGGCGGGGTCAAAGCGAGGAGACGGAGGCGTTGTGGATGGAGGCGTAGACGGCGGCGAATTGCCGCGCCGAAGTGCCACTGGCTATAGAGAAGAGCATGATTCGTCAAGATGTTCAGCACTAAAGGTAAGAGATGACGGCTCACTTGCATGGCGCTCAACGGGATGTTCCTGTCCTCAGGACGGCCTAGACGGACGTCCCAGAGTTCTGGGCGAAGTTGGGAACCAAAGATATCTAGTCTTATGGGGCCGATCCTGCTGCGATGCAGAACCTTCCTACAATATAGACCGAACAAGATAACGAGCACAAAGATAACGAGAATAAGAACAATGGGCAGCGCGATGCGAGTTGTCGCGCTAGTATGGCTGCCGACAGCGGCGTTGCTCCCTGTTGGGGGGCTGAACCCACTGCCGGCGTTGTCAGTGGTTCTCGGGATTATATCCATAGAAATAAACGTATTCTGATTATTTCCCCAAGAACTGAGTCTACGTGCAGGTGATGCTCGCAGCTGAGAGACTAACCTATCGCAACGACGTTCGTTCTGTATAGCTGTCTTCTGAATGGGCGACATGGCGATACGTTCTTATAGGAAAGCGAGTGTGCTTGCGGTACTGTGGAGTGCGGTGTTAAGAGTGAGAGTATGCTGCGGTGAGAAGGTCAAGAGTTCCGTAGCAGCTGCAACCGTCGCGCGAGTCACAAATGAGCGCCGCCGGTCGTGAGTCAAAGGACGAGTCAGCTGCGAACAAGCTGCGCGCGTATTGCTGCCGTCGTCGAATTATGATTAATGCCCTGGGAGTTCTACCTGAGGCCCGAGTCGTCAGCCTGACTCGACTCCCGAATCACGATATCGATGCTATGTCCCCATAATGCCGGCAAGATGATAAGGTTCACTCACCAAATGCCCGCGCAACTGGGTCGTCGAAGATCGCACCAATTGCGAAGTCTAGATCGGCATCCAGACGTATGACGTGACAACCCACAGAACTTGACAGCTATCGCAATATGAACTCTAGTCAGGTCTGTTCCAAAGTATAGTTACAGATATCGTCGTCTACAGGCTACGTCTCATGGGACACCAGCCATCTTTTTCAGCATCGCAAACTCATTCTTGCCTGTAGCCTTGCACAGGGCATGGAATTTTGACGAAGGGTCGGAGAGAAGCTTTGCCGGCTTGTCGAACTCAGCGATGCGCCCCTGATCGAGAAGCATGACCTGCGCAAAGCTACGGTTAGATATGGCACAGGAGTGCAGTGCGCAGTCCAGCCACTCACCCTGTCGTAGTCAATGATCGTGCGCAGTCGATGCGCGATAGTAAGGATAGTGCTTTCAGCGAACCCGCTGCAAAGATTATGTCAGCACAAGTATGGAAATCTTGCTTGCACTACTTACTGTCGTATTGTCTTGCCGATGAGCTCATCTGTAGCGTAGTCCACACTAGAACGACAAAGTCAGTCTGTGGTTTGCCAAGAAGCTGCGCCAAACGGCCTGCCTGGCAGTCGCCTAAGATAATGATGAGCTCAAGACCGATGACCCTAGTGCCAAAAACGACGTACCTCGTCCATCAACAGTACCTTCGTTCGCTTGAGAATGGCACGAGCCATACAAAGCAACTGCTTCTCACTTTACTTCTATCAGCAATAGTCGCAAGAAGATGATGATAGGCATACCCAGTGGAGAAGTTCTCCCCGCCTTCCGAGACGGAAGAGTCCAGATTGCGGAACACGTTCGCGTTAATCGTCTCTGGGTCTTCTGTTGAACCATCTGAAGGAATGAGGTGAACTCTGCGGAGTGCTTCATACTGTGGTTGCGGCATAAATATATAGTGGAACTGGCACGAGATGATTGGACGTACGATCTCAGCATCTTGGTATTCGTTGAAGACATCTAGCGTAGAACGGAGTGTACCACTCAGGATGGTAGGATCCTCTAGAGAGCCGATGAGTAACAGTATATTGCATATGGATGCTGAACACTTACGAGGGATGATTGTCAACCGACTCCTGAGATCTGTCAAGCCAACATCAGCGACATCGACACCATCGATAACGATGCGACCGCCAGCTGGCTCGACGAATCGGAAGAAGGATAGGGCGAGAGTACTCTTGCCGGAGCCCGTTCTGCCAAGAACGCCAATCTTCTCGCCAGGCTTGACTTCAAAGTTGAGATTGTGCAGAACATTCGGCAGTTCGGGCTGTGCGAAGCATGAGCACCTTCAAATATATCAGCGGAGACAACGTACAGCATATTTGATCACGAGGCCTTCGACCTTGATCTCGCCCTTCTCTGGCCAGCTGGCGGAAGGACGGGGCTCGATGAATTCTGAGGGTTCACGCCTGATCTCTGTGTATTCCTTGATACGCTCAACAGCAACCTACGAAAGTTTCAATGATAATTACTCAGGGAGGGAAACGAGGTATTGACACACCATTGACTGCTCCAGACCAACAAAGCGTCGGACCTATGAAGAGATGGTAAGATGGGATGCCTTTGGGTTCGTGTATGGCACCGCACCATAAACAAGAGCTGCAAGTAAGATTGTCAACATTCGAACAGGACGTAAGATTATGCAAGGAGCGCACATCCATCGTGACAGTCGATGCGAAGGCTAGTGCGAAGCCAGCTGTTGACGCCGAAATGCCTGGCGTCAGGACGGTCATGAAAGCAGTAGCACCGACCACGGCAGCAGAAAGCAAGTTGAACCGAGCAGACAACCAGCGATTGGCTAGAGAATCGATCAGCAAGCGCGATAAACGGAAGTAAATGGGCATTAACCTCCCCACATCCAGTAGTAAGGGTTCGTGTTCTACGGAAACGTTAATTTCTGTCATGTACGGCACTTGGCGAACCCACAGTATCGACGCAGCACAACATGTCCCGCAGGAACTTCGATGAAGCGCCGAACGCCCGGATGACGGTAACACCTGCAATCGTCTCGCCATAGATGGAATAAAGAGGCGACCGTGTCACAGAATCTAGAGTTTGCATCAGCATAAGTCAGCATCCGGGCAATGCTACAGACATACCCAGGCGGCGCATATCTCTGGACGTCTGACCGTAAACCTTGCCAACTACAGTATTATTCAGTCATGTCTCGACTAAGATTCCGACAACAAACTCACCGTTGTAGTACAAGAACGCAATCAGCACAGCTATGACCAGGAACGGCAAGCCACCGATGATCGTAATGGTCACATAGGTCGTAGCCGCAGACAGTGCATACATAACGCTGCGTCCAAAGTTGTCCGGCAAATTGCTATCGACACCTAAAAGCAGGGCGTCAACTTGAAAACGAACCGTCAAACAGTATTTACGTACCCTCGAAATCTTTCCCAAATCGGTTGAGAAGCCGTCCTCGAGAAACCGTGTCGTGGAAGCGAATGTTAGCGAAAAGCACACCCTCCAATAAGCCTATCAAGAGATGTCATAGAAATCTAGAGCGACCGAATGAGCAAAACATACGTTTGTACAAGACTCTCGAAGCATGAATTCCTCCACGATCTGCGAATTGATGAGCCACGATCTTGGAGGAATTTGTTAGCACGTACAGAGAACGAACCACCTCAGGGTAGTGACGACCAAACCGAGGCCGGTGATCTAGAACGAGAGCTTCAGCATGCTTACAAGCAACATACATGTAGCTGACGTACGATGGCATACACGGTGATATAGTACGAGGCACTCTTTTGGTTTTCAGTCTCGAGAGCAGATCCAGACCAAATCCTGCCGAGTCCTAGGTCAGTGCAACACTCAGGAAAACGTCATGAGACGCGTACTTGAGCCACCCATTCTCCAACACAGGACTCGCCGCAGCCACCGCAAGCGCCAGACTGAACAAGACCCAATAACCAGGCCCGCCGCATGCCCCGAGGTACGTCGCCCAGATATCCTTGCCGATCCGTCCGACAGCACGCTTCTCCTCCTCGACGAGCTTCCTCGGCGCCTTCCTCGCCAGCGGCGGGGCGTCCCCGTCAACCGCGGTGGCCGCCGCAGTCGAGCTCGTCTCGGATGTGTCCTCCGCGCTTGCTGGCACCGGCGCCTTCTCGTCCACGATCTCCTCGATCTCGGGCACGGCGGTCTCCTCCTTCGTGTCAGCAGCGTCTGTCGCCCCGGACTGGCTGAGCGTCGTCAGAACGCCCGATGCCTGGAACGTGGTTTGGTCGCCCGCGAATTGGAGGCGGCCGTTGTCGAGCGCAACGACGTAGGAGGCGCCTGGGGCGCATAGCTGGACGTGGTGTGAGACGAGGATGATCGTGCGGCCGCGCATGAGGTCGCCCTTGAGACATTCGTGATACAGGTGGTGTGCGGTGTGCGCGTCAACTGACGGTCGCTGTTAGCTGTCACGTACTTCATACCATACAAAGCCTACTGACCGGCAGAAAGGACATCATCAAGTAGCAGGATCGATGCCCTAGAGTAGACGGCACGAGCCAAAGATACTATCTTAGCGTCAGTAATCAATTTGGCCGCGCTCACATAAATGGAACACACCTCGAGCTTTTTGACCACCCGATAAGTTGACACCACGCTCGCCAATCTCAGACATGTCACCGTCCTCAAGAATCTGCAAGTCACTGAGCAGAGCGCAGACTTCGAGCGTCTTCTGGTAGCGTTCTTCGACGTAGGGAAGATCGAACAGAATGTTGTCGCGGATAGAGGCGTTACGAAGCCAGGCAGACTGAGCGCACGTCAGACAAGGTTACCAAGGAACAAGAGACAAACTTGCCTGGGGGACATACGCGCAGACACCAGAGACGACCCACTCCTCATCAGGGACAAGTTTTCCGGCGAACGAGGCAAGAGTATCGGGCGGCGAGCGCGGACAGAGGAGCTGACCCGTGAGCAGATCCGCCTCACCAAGCAATGCTACAAACAATCATCAGCCTCCCGCCCTTTTCGGTCTTGCTCAACACGTACCAAGCAAAAGCAGAGTCTTCCCGCTCCCGAGCTTCCCACAGATGAGCGAGAGTTCGCCCTGCGGGAACTCGAGCGACAAGTCCACGAGCACAAACTTCTGGCGAGGAGTCGACGCGGCGGTGGACGGCACGGAGCTCCCGCCACGCGTACGGTCCTGCGGCCAAGTGATGGTCGCGGACTGTAGTGCGATACGCTGATCTTGGATGTCGAGAGGTCCGACGACTGTGACTTCCGCTCCCCCGAGGTATTTTTCGATGCGGCGCGCGGAGACAAGTGACTGATCGTACAAAGTCAGCACGCGAGGGAAAAAAAAAAAAAAACTGAATCTAGAGACTGGCTGACCTGGAGCATGTTAATCAAGGTCTCTGGAAGAGCGTTCAGAGCGAACTTCATCTCGTTGAACACTACAACCTCGAGATCAATATCAGCAGATTGGCAAGTTCATTCGACGCACCGCTGATGGATGTGAAGGCAATCGATGGTGTAAGGACTTGGCCGCGATATACCGCGAAGTGCCAGAACGCAACCAGGGTCACCAAAATCGGCGAGCCATTCCTTCAAGATGATCAGCCAGCAAAAATGTTTGTCCCATTCGCTACATACCAGATAGCGTTCCAAAGCGTCTGAAGACCAAGGTCAATATTATGTGAAAGGTAAGAAAATCTGATCATCTACCTCAATGGTATAGTTGAGCTTTTGATACTTAAGCTCACGGTCACGAATCTTCAGCACCCGCTGTTCGAAACTGCGTTCCCAAGCCATGAACTAGACCATATTTGAGCTTGAAAATCCACCAAGGAGCACAAATCGATCAAACCTTGAGCATGCGGATACCACCGAGAATCTACATCTGACATGAGCTGCGCAGTTACAGAGATCGCAGCATTCAAACGAACCTCATTCATTAGCGCCACGCGCTCGTCCCTCGCCTTCATCAGGTTGTCCTGCGCGCCGACGACGACCTTGCCCGCGAAGTGGTTCAGAGGCAGGAACAGGCACGTCACGGCGAGGCCAAAAAAGCACGACACGCCGAGGAGGTGGTACAGGAAGAGCGTGCCGATGACGACCTCGATCGGCGAGTCGACGAGCGTGAAGATATGCCACGCGAACTCGCTCACGCGGTCCACGTCCGTCGTCATGAGCGTCATTATCTGCGCCTTGCTTGCGAACTCGCCCTCATCCTCCTTCTTCTTGTCCCCGTCGGCGGCGGGCGCCTCCGCGGGCGCTTCACCATTCGCAGCGCTGTCCGCGCCTGGTGCTGATCCCGACGCAGACGCGACGTCCTTGCGCACGAGTGTCTTGGCGAACAGGATCGAGTTAAGTTGCACGCGCAACCGGACCTGCAGGGTTGTAGTCGAGAGCGACCAGAGCTGACCGGTGACTGAAAATTCATGTCAAACAGGTGCACATTCGTCGATGACGGGGGCGCTTACTGAGTTGACAAACGGCATTGCTGAAAAACAGGCCCGCGCAGAAGACCCAGCCCCAGCCGCGGTCCTTCCGCTCCGGGTCCGCCTCGAGATACGCGACGACGAGCTGGAGGAAGAAGGCTGGCGCGTAGAACAGCACGGCCGAGACGGCCGCGAGGACAAAGAGCGCGGTGAGCGCCGCGAGGTTGCTGCGCACGAGTCGGTACACGAGCTGCCAGCCGCTGCCCGGGCGCGGGCTCCAGGTCCCAATCTGGAGCTTCCACTTCTTCATCGCAGCGCGCATCGTCGCGAAGATGTGCGTCGCGCGCATGTCCGCGGGCAGGATCGGCAGGTCGCCGATCTCGAGGGACTCGGACGTGTAGCCGAGCAGGACGACCTTGGTCGTGTACGAGAAAAGGAGCGTGTCCCAGACGGACGCGTTCACGCTCCCGCAGACGTTGTCTGGGTACTTGGACGTGACCGCCATGAGGGTCTTGTCGGAGTAGATGCGCTCGGAGGGGAAGTGCAGTGGCGGGCCGCGGGGGATCGTGGAGGCTATCGCGCAGGCGAGAATGTAGAGGACAACTTCTGTGTACCAGACTGCATTTGGTACAACTGGCGAGGGCAAGACTCGACTGGCCGAGACTGGCATTGGCGTGGAAGGCAGGATTGCAAGCGTGCCAAGCAGCGATACAGCGAAGAAGGTCAACACAGATAAGTGCAGGACGCAGTGCCAGTGCGGGGAGTATTCGAGCTTGACTGAGTAGCCTGCGACGATGACCACGTAAAGGGCAAACGCAGCACGAATCGAGTACACTGCGACAGCGGTGCGATCTGCCTCCACGACAGACCATGCAAGAGCGACAGTTTCGAGCACAAGAATGGCAGCAAGCACGAGAGTGAGGAAGACTTTCCAGAGTCTCATCTAATAGGAGGGAGTTCAACTATCCCATACACATTTCTCAAGACACTGCTAACACACCCTCGACCAAAACTTTTTCTCGTCTACAGGCTCGCCGTCGATGATATCCTCCGCTTTAGTCACGTCGAACGGATCATGCGACGTGGCATCGCGTACAATTTCTGAGAGCTGGACCTTGCCTTCGACCGGTTTTGAGAGAGTGAAGAGTGCTGCGCTGAGCAGGGCAAGAACGCCGAGAGCGACTGCCACAGGCAGCTGAAGCTGAGGCATTGTGCGACAGCCTCGTTCTGTCCCTTGCCCCAGGCTTTTGAAGTGGAAGACAAGTCAGAATGTGCGGAAGCGAGGCCTTGGCGCTTCGAGCTTGGACGCTCAGGCAATTGGTGATAAGGCCGCCGCACCGTGTGGTCACGGAATTTGAAGCCTGCAATTGGCTGATGTACCAGCTTGATCCGCCATCAACGGAACCGACATCGACGTGCCGCCGAAGGCGACTCAGACAACGCCGAACATTTATGACGTTCCTCGCTCCGACCGTGGATAACTCAAGCGGGTAGGGCTTTTGTCAGCGACATGCATCGACTCTGGCTTGCGGGATGCATGGTGCATTCGATGCTTCTATATTATAGTAGAGATTCGGAGTCCCAGATCTATGCTGATGCTCTCACGAGACAAACCTCTTCCTCTTTGTGTGAATTGAGGTCTGAAAACACTCACGCCCCGTACGCGAATTTTAAGGTACTGAAAACCTTTTGCTATACGCATGCTTTGATCACGAACCACACGAGACCCCGACGGCATAGC